CACATCTTGTGTAGGGCTCTACAGGATGCCGGAATGAGGACCTTTGAAATAAATCTCTGTGCATATCTCTGATTATTTCTCTCATCTATGTTCCCCCAAGGGTTTTTGAATCCTTTCAAAGATCCCTGGTGCATGTGGTGAGTGACTCTTCAGCAAGCTTGCACCAATTTACACTAATACTAATAGTTTAGTAAAATGCCCAGGTTACTACACTCTCACCAATTATAAAACCTTTGCCAATGGGAAGGTGAATAACAAGTTTGCCTTATCTTCTTTTGCATTTTATGATATCCCATTGGGATGTTTTCTGTTGTGTTATCTGTCTTTTTTCTTATTAATTTGTCAGGAGTGATTTGAATTCTGGCCGCAGTGCTAGAATTGATCCTGGATCTGTGCTTTTCCGGGCTTCAGCTTTCAAACAGATGGGGATGGTTTGCTTAGAGGATCTACGCTCTGGCCTTATAGAAGGCAACTGGAGGATTCTGTCCTGTCCTCCTGTGGGGCAGACTCGGGTCGGGGTGTCTGAGCAGGTCACCCAGTGGAGCAGGTGGGCTGGTCACTAGCGGAAGCCTGAGTGGTGGTCCTTACCATAACCCCCAGGCCCTGGACGCGGTGGAGACCTCGTCCAGCATCTGGCAACATGAGATGTGCCCATCTCAGAGGTCAGGGCTTTTGTTTTTGCTTTTTTGCCTTTTTCTGTCTCTTTGGGAGCTAAGTTCAGCCGGAGGTTTTTGTCTTTTTCTTGCTACTCTCTAGCTCGATGCCGGGCACATAATAGCTGCCCCCTAAATGCTTCTAGAAAGACCAAGGCTGCACTTGGAGCCGTTATCCAGGAGGCATTTTTAAGATTTTTTACTTTTTAATTTATTATTTCTAAAAATAAACTAATATGTACATATTTAAAATTGAAAAATAAAAGAAACTTCTTATCAGCCTCCTGAGGGTCACCACTGTTGCCATGTCTCGTAAACCAAAGAAAAATGTGTACAGATACTTCGAAATACAGGTGGGACTCCAGTGTGCACACTGACCGTCACCCAGCCTTTTTTCACTTATTAATGGAGCTTGTGAAGCCTGGTGAGTCTCTTCCCAGGAGCCTCTGCCGTCCCTGGGCCCCGGCTGTGCCGATGCTCAGGGGCTCGTCTGCCAGTCCCCTACTGATGAGCAGTTAGGTTGCTTCCATTTTTGTTCCTGCTGCTGTTTCAAACAAGTCCACCTGATCATCTAGCTCTTAAATTTTTATGTTCTTTCCAGTGTGTCCTATGGAAATCCCTTGCAGAAGATTTGCTGGGGCCATTCGGCGCATTGAAACGCTGGAGACAGATTGTTACACAGGCATTCAGAGAGGGGGGACCTCCAGCCACGCTGCGTGAGGGGCCTGCGTTCCCCCGGCTCATTAGCATGGATCATTACCACTTGTGTGGTTTTTGGAAATTGTGACTTGTGTAATATCATTCTGTTTTGCTTTGCATCTTTAAACTACACAGTAAGCCCTGGCCAGTTTGGCTCAGTGGTTAGAGCATCGGCCCTCAGACTGAAGGGTCCCGGGTTTGATTCTGGCCAGGGGCACATACCTCAGTTGCAGGTTCCATCCCTGCCCTGGTCAGGGCCTGTGGGGGACACAACCAATTTACATTTTCAGGGAATCAAATCCCTGAATCTTTTTTTTTGGTGTGGCTTCTGAGTTTTTATGAAATCTCCTCCTTAGGAAGGTTTTCCATGCTCCAAGGTTATAAAGAAATGAAGCTGTGTTCTCCTCTGTGTTAAAACAGTGCCTGGCACAAACTAAATCTTATACTAAGCTTTTGTTCATTCCATTACAAAATAGAATTTTCATGGTTTCATGTTTTTATTCTTAAATTTTCGGCCTTCTTGGAATTTATTTTGGTATAAAAAGTGAGGTAGGGACCCTGCTTTATATTTTTCAAATGGATCGTTGGTGGTCTCAAGACCACTTACCCATCAACCCATTTTCCTCACTGACTTGATTATGTCTTAAAGTGGGAGTCCCCTTATTACTGTTAATTGTCTTCTGAGTAGTTAAAGTATCTTTCATACCTCATCTTGGCTTTCCAATTAATTCGGAAGCGTGGCTGGCTCTCTAGAGTAAGGACTAATGAGCTGAGATCATCTTCACTGCATAGCCCTAAGCAGAGAGATGCCGCCGGCCAGGCTGACCACGGCCTTCTGACTTGTTCAGAATTCCCAGTACAGTGAGCTCTTGTTGAGCTAATAAGCAGCGATGTCTTTTCCAAAGCTCAGGTCAGTGGCTCTGCAGAGCTGGGGCAGACAGGAAGGGAGGAGATCAAGAGCCCCCTCTTCAACTGTGGGACCAAGGACCCTGGAAGACTCCTGGAGGCCTGCCTGGCAGAATTTCTAATGGCCTACAGCTGGCCTGGTGACTCCCACAGCTTCTAGGTTGGGAGAGGAGGACCTGGGGTCCGGCTGCTGACACAGGGGCTGGGAATAGGGGGATCACTCTTAGGGGTGCCAGGAGAGAGGTTAGGGAAGCTCAGTTCAGCTGACCTGGTAGGTGAGGAGCCGCAAGGAGTTTTGGAGGATGGGGGTGAAGCAGGTGCATGGAAAGGCGGACGAGGGCCTGCCCAGGGCACAAGGTTTGCATTTCAGATCTAGGGTCTGCCAAATGCTCACCATATGACCCTGGGCCAGTCCCAGAACTCTGATGCTCACTTTGGAGAGGTTGAAAATACCAGCCTTGCAGGGTCGGGGAGAATCTTGCAGTTCCCACTTCTGCCTCCCCATCTCGCAGTGTGGGATTTACGGAAAGAGGTGTGTTCGTTGTGGGGGGTGGAGGGTGGGGGTGAGCATGAGGACGGAGGGAGCACCAGCATTCACGTTCGGGTGTGGTCGAGGCAGCAGGAGACACACTTGAGATGCACGAGAGCCTCGAGGAATGTGCCCCCAGCAGGGAGGCTGTGCTCCATGACCCAGGGACCAGGCCGGGGTGAAAGGGGCCAGTGAGGCCGGGTCCCCCGAGATCCTGAGCCCTGACGCCCCGGGTTTCCCCTCCACAGGCCCTCCTGGACCAGGAACTGCCAGTACGCCAACACTCTGGCACGGTGGTTGGACGGATGCCACCTGTAGCCCCCGGGCGGCCCTTGCAACACTCCTCGTTGCATCTTCTGAATGAAGACTCTTTCCTGGGTGCGGCCCTCGCTTGGCCTTGCTGATGATCTCGCCGTGCGACAGCTCCAGATGGAAAGGGCCAACCGTTTCCTTCATTCAGGGATGCAGGATACAGAATAAAGCAGCTACTTACTCAACCTGGGCCAACGGTCTCCACTTGTATAATTACATCCTGGTCATCACTATGATAACCATCACTTACTATTATTATGATTTATTATCACCTAATCTCAGGTGGGAGGTTTGAACGATCTAGAACACAAGGTGTGTCTGTGGCTGTTAAACAGGGGGAGGAAGAAAAGAGACAGTGGAAGGAAAGGGAGTCAAAGAAGAGCAGAGGAGGGGCCTCGGGTCCCGCGCGTGTCCA